CTGGCGAGTATACCAACTATACTGCGAGCATAGGCGACACACATAGGTGAGCACCTTGCGAGCTAGTATACAACGAGGACCAACCAGCATAGGCCAAACTGATAGCGCAGCACTATCGTAGCAAAAAAGCTCGCTCGGCGGCGAGCACTAGGCGAGCACACCAATACAGCATGGCTCGATCGGCGCGGCTCGAATAGGACGACACGATGGCAGTGACGTAATTGTCCTCCTACCACCATGTACCATCTCGTCTCGTCTCCTCCTACCACCATGGACGACCTCGATACAGCCCTCGTTACCGTCAGATCCCACCTTGTCCAAGTTCTCGAACCCAGTGACAGCCCCAGAACGCGACAAAACAAAAAGGAAATCGCCGCAGCAGCCAAAAATACGCTGTACGACCTCGTCAAGATGTTATGTGGCTCCGTCTGGGAATTGTAAGAGTCTGACGCTCTATCCGATTGAGCTAGGCGGGCAACGAGGAATGTTGAACATCAAAACATTATAGGAAGAGGCGGACGATCATTGCCACATCTGGAAGTAACAGCACCATGCCGCCTGCGTGTCCTGAGGGCTTCCTGAACTTCTATCACTCGACGAACCCTCTTTCTGCATACCGGAAACTATAGCTAAGCACCCTTACAGCTTTTCCGCACGCTTGAAAGCGTTATCACTACGCAGCAGAGATTGATATCGTTTGAGTGCCACTTCTATCCTTCTCAATTTCTTTCCTAGTAACAACATCCGCAGCTATACAGCAATCCAATGCGCTAAGATCTTGTGAGACGGGCTTTTTATTCGCAAACTACCCTCAGGCGAAGCCCATCATCATCAACAGCGCAGATGTGATATACTTGGCCCGGATTGATCCAAACTGAACTTCTTCGTTTCCTTTAGCCAGCTGTTCGCCAGTGATGAACCGGTACCTCTTCCTACGAGACAAGCCTCGCTCTTTTTGTCAAAAGTTCGGTTACCAGGGGCCAGTATTGTGGCAAAACGGATAGATTCTTGTAATATGATACTATCATTGCAGTTTGGAACGTGAGTACTTGAGTCTTCGCAACTCAATGTTTCTATACGGGGACTGAGAATTATGCAGCAGCGCCCGCGCCCTATTCTCTGTAAACTCTTCTCCAAGACCCCGGCGTCGTGGCGGGGCTGAGAATCCATGCTATAAGTCATTGCAGCGGCCCGCATCCGACTTTCCTACGATTACACTCGTAATCGTGTATATTTTCGTCCTGGAAAGCTGATCCTTCGGACCGGCAGCACGGCCGGCGTTAGTAACAACACTTTACTGCTTTTCCTGCCTCGAGCCGTTGGTTGTTTCCCCGCCACGGCTTAAAAGTATGATGCATGATCACAGTAGAAGTTAGTGGGAACTTGGGCCTTGGAAGACTCGACATGGTCGTCACAGTGGTTGTAATGTACGTGGTTCACTTCAAGTCCCGGGGCTCCCCCCCCGCCGTGTACGTAATGTCCAGGACCGGCGTTCAGTGTGCAACCGCTGTGTAATCTCACTGACTTACTAACCACTATGAAGGACAATGTGTCTATCAAAAAGAGGAGACTGACTCATGCATGCGATAGATGTCGTTTAAGAAAAAGTAAGATTTCCATGGATATTGTTTTCGTGAGCACTCTAACGCCTTCTTTAGAAAAATGTATATTCCGTCCGCTACATTAGGCTCAGCGAATGCAAGAACTGAGCATTGAAAACGTGTAGGCGATTGCATTCCTGGACAGAGCACCCGTTGCTCAAATTGCATCGCGTCCGATGCAGAGTGCACGCATATTATTCCAACCAAGGTCAGTTTCCTCTCTCCTGTCAAGTGCCAAGCCTTATGACGACTCTTGAACAGAAACGTGGTCGGAAGTCCAAGTGTGCCCTATTTATGATTTCGCTCAACTTGCAAAGGGTACTGATTTTGATAGTCCCAAGGAAGAATCAGCTCCGGTGGCTTCAGATACAGTGAGACACAAACACAGTCCTAGGTGCGACAACTGTAAACTAAACGATTCCGCAATATGGCTCAGATTGTTATTAGCTACGTTGAGGACCTACTAGAACGGCGCGTCAATGAGCTGGAGGGTAAGCTTAAAAAGGTTTAGTGACCCTGCACCTTCCCCATTGCTTTTCTCAGTCATCGTAGCTCAATCCGAATATCATCCTACCGGGAGGAGCAACGTTGCAAGAGAAACCCAGGCGCTTATCAATATCCATGCACGGAGTCTTATCTCGATCTGCAGGTTATACGTCCGAGTCCGAAGAGGCCGAGTCTGATGACGACTTAACGCACTTAGACCTTCTGGTAAAGATGAAGAGGATGTCATTGAACCACGAGAATTCCTTCAGCCAGAGGTGTTTCGGATCATCAAGTAGTTTTGCGTTTTTCATGAGTGCCATTTCTACCGAAAAGAAATCGAAAGGTAGCCTGAATACGATGCAACTACACGACTATTCTAATGCGCATCCTGTGTGTCCTACTTTAGCAGCCAGATTCCCTTTCGCTAACCAGTCTTGATGACCAGTGGGAGCGTGCCACGGCCGACGCCGAGAAATCTCGCTACGTCTTTCCTGACAACGATCTTATTACGAGCCTGGTCGCCATATATTTTGAAACGATCCATCCAATTTTTCCGGTCCTGCATCGACCTACATTCACGAAAGACGTCGCCAATGGGTTGCATCTACGGGATGAGTATTTCGGCGCTACGCTACTTCTTGTTATATCTGTTGCCTCGCGATATTCCGATGACCCAAGGGTGTTAGCAGATCCGAGATCAAAGCTTTCCGCAGGATGGGACTTCGTCAAGCAAGCTCCCCTCTTTAAGAAAGCGGTATTGTCTCCTCCTAGCTTATACGAGCTTCAGTCACCTGTCGTAAGTCTGTTTTCATTGTTCATCGCTCAAGCTCAGAATGCTTTTGGAAGCTTGGAGTCATATACTCTATTGGAACGTCCACTCCTCGGTTTAGCTGGACCATGGTTGGGGTCGGACTACGCGCCGCAACTGAAATTGGATTACATAGGCGAAAGCCAGAAGGCCATAAGATGACAGTCGATGATGAACTCAAGAAGCGGTCCTTTTGGTAAATTTCCTATTCTTCGTATCGCCGAGGGACGCTGATCGCACTGTATGTAGGGCGCTCATTATACTTGACAGATTAATCAGCCTACACTTAGGACGACCTGTCATGATGCAGGAGGAAGAGTACGTCGTACTGACCCACTACGTTTTCTCTACTGAACATTCATATCACGGCACAGTTTCGACTTGGAGCCACCAATCGAATGCGATAACGAGTACTGGGATATCGGACCAGGCGGAGAAGTGAATTTTTGCCAACCGGCTGACAAACCTTCCAAAATCAGCTATTTCAACGCGCAAATACGACTGAGCGTGATAATGTCGGTTGTCGTGAGGATGCTTTATTCCATCAAGAAGGGTCGAGACATGTTGGGCCTTACCGGAAAGGGATGGGAAGAGCGTCTCGTTTCTGACCTAGATTCATCCATGAATGATTGGATGAAAACCATCCCCGTCCATTGTACGCCATACGTTGTACCTACATTCGATATTCTGCTGACTACCTTATAGTGCGTTGGGATCCCGACCACAACAATACGCCGTTCTTGTATCAGTCAGTGGTTCTTTATACAGCCTACTATATGCTCCAGATCCATATCCATCGACCCTTTCTACATACCAGCTCTCCTCTTTCCGAATCGTCTCTCACCATTTCTACGACTGCAGCTAGAACTTGTACTCGAATCCTTCGGGTTCATCGCATCAAAATCAAAACCACTGTGCCTCACATTCTGGTAAGCTGAATATACCTAACTTCCCTTTCCTCAATTCACTGGTTGATCGAGATAGGAGCCCTTGTATCTGGCACTGTACTGGCTATGAACATCTGGAGTTACAAACGGTCTGGCCATGCGCCAAACGCAGAAGACATGGCCGGCTTTGAGCAATGCCTAGCCGCCTTCATACATGCTGCTGACACGTACGTCTTATTTTGTATCATGAATAAATTGACACCGGTTCATTGATAGGTGGAATATTGCTGGTCGTTCATTGTGAGTAGCAGTTTCAAATTTTCACATCCTCATGACCATATACGGACATCTAGGAAAATGTTCAAGGGCATGGCTTCTATTGAGGTCGCTAGACTTTTGGATGATATTTCTATTCCTGTCGCCCATCCTCGGGAAAACTCTGCTCCCGCATCAGAATCTACTCCCCAACGGAGCTCGTTCAGCGCTGAACCAGAAACATGGCCCGAGCACCTTGGTACCTTGGCCTTCCCTCCTTTGGTAAAACTTCGTTGATGGTAAACGACTTCTACAGATCCAGCATACTTGAACGATTACTTAGCGAATGGCCTGCCCCTGAATCTGACGAGTGAGGACTCGTTAAGCTCGTCCCCGGGCCAGGGGTCATGCTTGAACCATTCCGAATCAGAGTTTTCCGGTGGGCAAGGCACGATTGATATGTGGAGCTATGCTCCCCCAGGATTCAGGTGTGCCGCCGTAGTCTCTCGGAAAAAGTTTGCTAATATGTGGACCTGTAGCTTCGTGGAGTGGGACACATACGTCACTAATATGAGTCTCGAGAATGGACACTCGTAGCGATTTTGGATTCTGCAGCTTGTCAGTGAACGTACCAAGGAGCTCGTTCTAAACGTAGCTCAATGGGTCTGTATTTGAACGCTCAGATCCGAACATAAATATCAAGAGCCAACCCGTATAAATTTCAATGGAATTATATTCAGCTTCCCAGGCTTGCAGATGATGCATATTTGGGCGACACGGTCTTAAGTCAAAAACGTATAGTTCAGCTGTCTGTAAGTTTCCCAAAGAGAAAGAAATTGAGTGATGCGTCTAGCATAATGACCTACGGTCCACAAAACCTTGACGCGCGCAATATGCAGGGTTTTTCTACCGCTGACTCCGTAACAAACGAAGTTCAAGTACTTTCATTCTGATAGCCTCGGAAAGCCGCGGAGAAGCATATCTACAATAACCCCCCCCCTATATCTCTCTCTGATATTCGCACGACGGAATGATTCAAGGAAAATTAGATTGGAAGGCAACGCTACATATAAGAACAACGGTACATTTGTTTGCATCTCCTGCCCGTCATCCACAATATCAACGATAACTAGACATTCAAAGAGATCTCAATAAAGTGGCTCTCGATAATGAGACAGAAAGACTGACCTGGTGCTTTCAAACGGCCAACCTCCCCATCACAGTCAAGTACGACAACAAAATCACTCACTGCACGCTGTGAATCAGCTTCCTTCACAAGACGAATGTGAAATCTACTCACAGGAGCGACAAGGTGATGTCACCGTTGACCTTGGCCTGGATGGCGATCTCGACCTCGAGGTTAAGGTCAAGACGGAGCTTCAAAGCCGCAGGAGGTGCAGCCTCGCGCGGGGTGCGACCAACGATCTGTCCACCGAGGACGGAGGAGGATTGAGTAGGTGCAAATTTGGTAGCGGTTTCTGGGGCAGACATTGTTGAGATGTTTGCTAGCCAGTCAAGGCTCTTTTATACACGACCGGCGATTTGTGGGGGAGGAAATTTTTGGGTGTCCAGAGCCCTCGTGGAACGCATTGGGTGTTCCAGAGTCAAATTGGAAGCTCTGTTGCAACACCTGCATTCGGGCTGTCGTTTGCTTGTAGCAAAGGACCCTTACGACCCATGGCATGCACAAGTTATCATACTAGTGGAGATATTCTTCTTCTCCATGGCAGTCTACAGAGCTACCTGAGTCGGACGCAGAGAGGTAAAAGAAGGGTATCAGGGCGAAAAACGGTGTTGGTGGCGGCTAGCGAAACTCGGGCTAATTTGTTGCAACAGGACGATGAGCTTCGAACAATACCGAGGCAGGCCGACTCTCGAAACTGTCATCCCGTGGAAGGACCTGTTCTCGTGATAGCTGATTTTGAGAGCAGCGATTGCTATGTTTTGACGCAAAAGATAACGAGATGGGGTGCATCGAGACCGAAGCTGGTTGCGGTGATAATTTCTAGAAATCTACTCTGGGGAATGAAGACACGCCTCGGAGACCGTCGCGCGGAATTGATGGGTTAAGAGTTATCAGAGTCGTGGATGATGGGGAGATGATGGTTGCAAATCAAGCCGGACCTTCCCACAATGTAAGCTTGGGGTGGCATTTTGGACCCACAGGCACCCATACATATGGCTACTCTTGCCGGCTATGCCATCAAGAAAATGTCATATTACACCTCTGCTCCATGCGTCCTACTTCACTGGTGTATGTTCAAAAGGCCCCGAGTCGCAGGCAGGGGGACATCGTCAACATCGTGTTCATTATGAAATAAGAACCGTTACGTAGCAGGTGCCTTCTTGCTGCTTCGAGACGAAAAGAGTTAAGTTGCTTGGACGAGGCACCCGACTTATCGAGCTGCATTATGGCACGAAAATATCCTCATTTATACCTCGGGTCGGTCGGTTCTCATATAAAAGCCTAGCCAAAAGCGACCTATTCATTATCAGCAAAACATGTCTGCCCCAGAAACCTCTACCTCCGTTGCTACCCGCTCCCAGGGCACCGTCGCTCCCAAGGAAGCTTTGAAGCTCCGTCTTGACCTCAACCTCGAGGTCGAAATCGCCATCCAGGCCAAGGTCAACGGCGACATCACCCTCTCTCTCCTGTAAGTCGATGATTACCGCCGTTTTGGATATCTCAAGCTGACTTGTTGTTTTTACAGTGAGTGAATGTGCCGTAGGACTGGAGGGAGCAAATTGGACTTCGATTGCCATGGTTGGGTGAGAATTGCTTTATTAGAGATCAGTAGTTGTCGATCCTGACGCTTGTTTGCTTAGCACGTCGCTTTGCCGATTACCTTCTTCCTATCCTTCATTTTTCCCTGTCACCAACACTATATTAGTACTTATTCGGAGTTCATGCGCGTAGTACATACCAATACCAGTGTTGCTTTTGGGGTTTCATACGATAAAGTCAGGGTCCCGCAAGTATCCAGTAGTCGTACATACTCATTGTCTCAATGAGCTCTGAGATTTGCAACCGCCAGAGGCACTCCTTCGAAGGCCAGTGTCGGGTGCTGGGGAACGATGGAACGTCTGTCGGCACGGGGAAATCGACAAGGAAAAGGAAAGTTGAGGAAGTTGTGTGGCACGCTAAGTTCCATTTCCGCAGTGGCAGCGAAAGAAAAAGATGATACCTGAGGTAAACAAACTCCAGCTCAATTAGCCGCTCATCGAGCTGTCCTCGAGTGAGAAATATAGCGGAAAGACGTTGGGGAGACCGGGCAACAAGCAGGCTGTGTCCTTGGATGCACCGGCAAAAATGCTAGATACACTCCCAAAAACGACCAAGGATTGTCAATACGTTTGTCTGAAATTCCCGTGCATTAAAATGCTTAAGTTCCAAATGATTGAGTTGCCGGAGCACGTACGAGTACACAGAGAATGCAACACTGATGGTTTCTGAACAAAAAGAGGATGATTCAGAAAATGCGGACCGGTGAGCCGGGAATACCGGCGACACGTGTGATCTAAGCGCCGTCTCTCTATATACAGTAACTATCCACAGTTACGAGTACCACGAGCAGCTATAAAGCCAGCTTACCAGGCTCAATCTCTCTCGATTCAAATCGACGGTCATTCAAAGTACTCACGTCGTTTTGGCGGGTACGTGTGCCATTGTGTCTTCTCCCAACACTTTACCAAGCCCATTTCAGGATTCTAGATTCCTCACTCCATGTCGTGCCTCACCTGCAGCAACTGCGGCTTCGTCAATCTGCTTCCCCCGGAGGCCCATGTACAAAAAACTCTCCAAGCTATACAATTGAACTCCGACGACTTAGTTTTACAACTTCTACGCGGGTCACGGCCATTGCTTGATGCTGACCGTGCCTTGCTCGACGCTGAAATTGCCAAGCTAGAAAGGTTGCGATCTTTGTATGATGTTCAACTTCAAGAGATTCAGACGCGCCGACGTCCAATCTCGAAAGCCCTGGAAGATCGCACGTCGATCTATGCCCCCATTCGTCGTCTCCCCCGAGATATTCTCACCGAAATCTTCCATTCTGTCTGTGAATGTTGGCGGCAGGAAATAGAAGTGGACAGCATCTTTACGGAAAACCGTTATAGTCTAAACGTATCTGGGCCTCTTTGGGTCTTAGGTCGTGTCTGTGGGCTTTGGAGGGATACATTGCACTCCTCTCCGGTGTCCTGGGCTCGGGACATCGTACTCAAGTCCCCTTTCTCCAAGCACGCTCGCAAGATACTGCAAACTTATCTCGAGCACACAGGCGAACACCCTCTCAGTCTATCGGTCGACTGTTACGACGATAATTCCACAGAAGACCACGAAATCATGTCTTTAGTTGTTCAATCCTGCTGTCGCTGGAAAAAAGTGTACATTTGCACCGACGTGCATTATATGCACCACCTGGAATCTATATCGTATCTTCCCGTTCTGCAGATGATTGAGATAGATATCATCGTTGACTACGAGTCTGATTGCCATTTGGGCATGTGTTTGAATGCCCCGCAGCTATGGCGAGCGTCCCTTCCTCGCCAAGGGATTCATCAAGTGGGGTTACCGTCCAGCATAACTCATTATTCTGGACGCATCACTTGTCTGGAAGATTTTCAGCTCCTCTCCCACTTACCCAAGCTTATAACATGTCATCTTCGAGATTTCTGGACGCTCTCATTCCAAGCCCGCCGAGTCGAGGCTCCGGTGACTATGGCCGAGCTTCGTCATCTCTATGTGAATAGTGCGGATTATCTCAACTTCCTGACGGCACCTCTCCTCCAAAGTTTGACCATATCCGAACCTATGCGAGGATCAGTATCTGTCCCTTCCTTCCTCCGTCGATCGGGGTGTCACCTCGAGAACTTGAGCTACAATATGCGCGCGGCAGCATGGCTCTCTTCGGAGCCGCCGGTCTTGGTCAGCAACATACTCTCATCAGAGGCATGTTCTACTGTCTCCCGCCTTAAACTTGAGCTTGATAAACGCTTCGACGAAGTTGCCGAGGCCCTCACTTCTCTCTCTGTCCTGCCCAACCTACGTCATCTTATACTCTGCGTGACGACACCTGTAGAAGAATATGAGTGGAATGCCATACCCGATATGATACGCTTCCGCCGTGATGCAGGGCTGCTGAAAGCAGTTGAACTGCAGATTACGGACTATGGGAGTGGACGCTCGGACGAGTACGACATCACAACGGAAATCAAGGGACTTGCTGGGGACAATTTGGAGATGCGGATTGAGGAATGGAACTCCCCAGGTGAAGAACACATGTCGATCTTTCACTAGAGTATAATATAATGACTTTCGACTACATGATGTACGTCTAGGGCTCCAACCGTTTAGTTTTCGTTTATGCTCAGGTCCAAACTAAACGGAAATGGTTGCGAAACCATTTATAAACAGTGTATAAATGATTGTACAGGGTAGATCACATGACACTTTAGAATAGCGGCAAATGTGCATCAATTCTCTTATTAATACGTGTATCTACAGCATTCTAGATTGAATGTTGAGAACGCATCCTCTCTATAGACATTGGTCATGACATGGTAGATGGGATCATCGGATAAAGCCTCTTTCACTGCGGCTGGAGGGAGGTTACTGCAAAGGCATGCAAACTGCTGCACAAGGGCAGACCGAAGAGACTGAGGGTGTCATGGTTCTTGGAAGCCTGAGGGTGCAGTTGGACATGGTGAAGACGGCCTTTATATTGAAGAAATACTTGTGAAAATACACAATGACTCACTAGTCGAGAGGCAGACATTGTCCTTGAACAATTGGGGAATGAGATAATATTGGTCAGTGGTGGTTGTAGCATCGCACAAAGTCAACGAAGTGGATAATTGATGCACTGCCTAATTGGATGATTAGGTAACCATTTACCATTTAGTTTACTGTTTGTTTACCGTATGCCTCTCGACCTAAACTTAAACGGTAAACTAAACGGTTTAAACAGTGTATAAACTGTTTCATACAGAAACGGTTGGAGCCCTATGTACGTCTCTTTGGTGCAAAACGTGATTGTTTACTAAGTGGGCACGTTACGTCCTTCCGTCAGGTGCTGGCGTGGTACTACCTGCGATGTGGACGTTTCTGAGAGCCACAGAGAGAAGGTCACAACTCGGGAGAATCGACCTCCACGCTATTTAGTGAAAGCACCAGACTCTGCTGTCTGCGAACCCAAGGGTGGCAGTCTTCCGGAACAGTACATCTGCAGGGATAGCAAGTCACTTTCATTGAGAAATAGATGCATGGGTGTATGAGCTTACTATGACCTTTCGAGACTCTTCGTCTGGCAGCAACAGCAGAAACAGGGTGTTTGTCGCCACCGGACACGAGGAAACTTCACGCTAGTTGGGTAAAATTGGAGCGACGGAGAGACGTGCTTACTCAAAGACTCGAGTCACCTTCATTTTCAGTCTCCCCTAGGCAGACTCTCAAATCAAGACAGTAGATTCTTCATCTTTAGTAGGTACTACGTGTGCCAGCATATTTTCTTCCAACGATTTACCAAGCCCCGTCTTAGAACTACCGAATCCATGTCGTGTCTGTCGTGTCTAACGTGCCGCAATTGCGGATTCGTCAATATCATTCCTCTCCAGCCACAGCTACAGAATACTACAGCCATTCAAAGCTCCGATAGCTTCGTTTCGCAAATTCTACGCGGCTTACGGCCGTTGCTCGACTCTGAATATACCTTATTCAATGCTGAAATTGTCAAGCTAAAACGGTTGCGGTCTTTGTATGATACTCAGCTCCAAGAGATCGAGTTGCATAGGCATACAGTTTTGAAAGCCCTGGAAAGTCGCAAATCGATCTTTGCCCCCATCCGTCGTCTCCCCCAAGATCTTCTCATCCAAATCTTCCACTCCGTTAGCGACTCCTGGTGGCAGGAAACAAGAGGGAACTACCACCTCAAGCAAGAACGCCATAGTCTAGATGTATCCGGGCCTCTTTGGGTTTTAGGTCGTGTCTGTGGGCTTTGGAGGGATATATTGCACACCTTGCCGGCGTTATGGGCTCAGAATGTCGTGGTGAAATATCCTTTCTCCAAGCACGCCCACAAGATATTGCAGGCCCATCTCGAGTATTCAGGCGAACAACCCCTCACTATACAGGCTACTTTTAGTGGGCGGCATGAGCTGACAAGAGGGGAAGCGATTATGTCCTTACTCGTTCAATCCTGCAATCGCTGGAAGAATGTGCGCATTCGCATCGTCCCGCATCATGCACATCACCTCGAATCTATAGCAAACCTTCCCGTTTTGCAGACATTTGGATTAGATTTCATCCAAGACTACCGCTCCCGGTATTGCTTGGACATATGCCTGAAAGCCCCGCAGTTGTGGCAAGCGTCTCTTCCCAGCCGTGGGATCCATCAATTGAGGATACCATCCAGGATAACCCAATACTCCGGATGTATCACTTGTGCAGAAGATTTGCGACTCCTCGCCGGCCTACCCAACCTCGAAACATGTCACCTTCTGCCCTGGCGGGCATCCGTAGTCCATATCAGTACACCAGCGGTGGTGGCTAAGCTTCGTTATCTCTATGTGAATGATCCAGACTCACTCGACTTCCTAACTGCACCTCTCCTCCAAAGTTTGACTATATCTCAAATTCCGCTGGGGGGATCATTAACACCCGTCACTTCCTTCTTCCGTCGATCGGGGTGCCATCTCGAGAGTTTGAGTTTGAGTATGTGCATGCAAACGTGCTTGTTGAATGACCCCGACTTGAACGATATGATTAATATGCTCTCCTCGGAGGCATGTTCTACGATCTCTCGTCTTAAAATTGAGCTCGGTAAATACATGCACAGAGTTACCAAGATCCTCACTCATCACTCTAGCCTGCCCAATCTACGCCATCTTATTCTTTGTAACGTGACGAACATAAAGAATGAAGCGTGGAATTCTATACCCAAGATGATACGCTCCCGCCGTGATGCAGGACTGGTAAAAATCGTCGAACTGCGGTTTGCGGACGATAAATATGAAGCCTCAAACGCCAAGTATGCCACCACAGCCGATATCAGAGGACTGACTGGGGACAATTTGGAGATGCGGGTTGAGGAGTTGAACCCGCCAAGTGAAGAACACTTGTTGATATTTGACCACGTCATCTTCTTTGAATAAGACAGAGTTCAAGTATCTGACACGTAGATGATGGGAAAACAGTGCGTACGTGGTGTGGGCCAACTATCTACCTGACCAGATGTATTCAAGCTTTGCCTCATTGGTGCAGTGAACCGGGAGAATTATGTTCAGAATGGTGTGACCTTGGTGCTAGCATTCTCAAGACACGAGCGCGTTGAAGGGTGTCTGCGGTCGGAGATGGGAGTAAAGATAGCGGTATATGGGAACGATAATAACTTTCAAAGTACAACCTCTCGGTGCAAGGCAACACTCGTCTGCCTGACGCCAGAGGAGCAATGCAAGTAGATAACTCGATGTGTGGCACACGGAGTTATCCTCACTGTGAAAATGTCTCTGAAAGCCATGGACAGAAAACCACACCTCGGGAGAGTCGAACTCCACGCTGTTCGCTGATAGCGTCGGACCCGTTGTCCGCGAGTGCAAGGGTAGCTGTCCTCCGGCACCGGTCCAACATTAAGGGAATATTAGGAAACGCCTTGATACAAATGTATATCGATGCAGGGATAGCAAGTCACTTTCGTTGAGAAATGAGTAAACAGGGGCTTAGCTGACTACTGCCCTCCGGTGCATCAACAACACACCTAGGAATTGCTGAGAGCGATAGGTCCCATTGAGACAGAGACAATGGCATCTCGGGAGAGTCGAACTCCACGACAAAGCGTCGGATCCCACTATCCGCGAATGCTGAAGTCACCGTGTTCGCGGCCTCCGTTTCAGCAAGGGTATGCTTCGATGAGGAAATCACGACGATGACATCCTGAAGGCGGTCAGAGCCGATAACTGAAGGGGAAGACACGAGGGAGGCGAAGGCCAAGGTATCAAGCAGATGCTACAGCTCTAAAGGGTCGCTATCTGCCATCGCCACGACGGTGGAGGTGAAAGATGGGATGTTGACAGTGTCTTTCGCAATGAAACTCCAGGCGATCGATCGTGGTAGGGGCTGAGGTTCGCAGTGGACGTCGTTCTTCTCTAGAGGTTTACGCATCCAAGCGACAAAATAGCGAGAGTCTGCTAAAAATAGCGGTTTGGACGGTTGCAGTTCGGTAGAGAGCCCTCTCACGAACTGGGTGTCTGCATTTCCATCATAAGGGATCCGTCGCGCAGAATAAGAGAATGGTTGATGTCGGTAGGAAACCAAAGGCCGGAAGCGCCTGACCATTATCGATATCGCCTGTCTCTTTGTGAAACTCTACAGAGCATGGAGCATATGCTCGCAGTACGAGCTTGAAGACTGGTATGAGACACCGATAAAAATCAGACCTAAAGCGACGTCTGCAAGGAGTGTCCAGTAAGCAAAATCGGGGCGACGACAAGATCTTACCATGAAGATCCCAAATAGCATAGGTTCGGCGACCTCCTTGCAATGTCACTCGATAGAATGCGCGCAATTGAAACGTGCGTGAGACCATAGATGATGTAGACAATATTGGAGAGCAATGATTGACTTCAAAACAACTCCAAGGCAGCTAGGAAGTTGAAGGCAGGGGCCAATTAAAACTCCGACACCACCTCTGCCGTCATGCCGACTGCGCTTTTTAAACTCAACCACTGCAATCGTCGAATTATCAGAACGAAATCATCAGTAACCTGATAGCTATCAATTACAACTTTGAGTGCTTTGAGGTACGACACTCACCTAAAGTTTATTGTAGAGGTGCATTCACCTCGGTATTAATTACACACGCGTCATTCTTCGAGATTTGAAGCGGGAAGAACTTGAACATGTGCCAAACGGTACCATCAGGACTGCATAGAGCTCCACGACATCAGACAAGAGCGATACGCCGTTGTTGTCGACGAAAGGACAGTTCTATTACGGAGGCAGAGCATAAACGAGGGACTAGTGCATTGCAGACTTTTCAGTAAATAATCGATGGACTTGGCACTGTTGGTGTGCTGAAAGTTTTACCCTTGTCGTTATCAAGTCGTGAAGATACCCGCATGAATAGTTGTTTCCATTCGTGCCTTTCGAGCAAGTCGGTCGTTGCCGCGTTCGTCGCCGTCGTAGGAATAGGGCAATTTAAACTCAGCCACTCTCTCCCGACCATTAAGATCAAAGTGCTAGTCTCTTCGTTCGCATTGCGCCGGCGTCCGTAGGCTTCGACCTTGATTTCAATAACGACGACAAGACTAGGAAATAATTCTGACAACGCTAAAATTTACATTCTCAAGGCGACCTATGTGCCCAGTTGGATTCGGCACGGCGCATCTGAATCTCGAAATACTTAGCGGAAGTTACTGCAACGATGTTCTGGTGCGTATGCTATACTCAGGCATGTTCGACCGGTACTAAAGGGTTATTTACAGACATCGTCTACATCGTTATAGGCATGCAGAATGGAGGGCACGATGGCAAGGCTCGCTATGACGACAGCACAAAACTCTATTTTCTCTCGACTTTCCCCGGCTGATTTCATACATTGAAAACTACGCATTGTTGAGTAAACAGGACCGAAACTAGAGCCAATATCTTCTTTTTAAGTTCGTTTCATGGCATCTGTATCAACGTATCCAATTAAATTGAATGGTAGACAACCATGCGGCAGTCGAGCGATACGAAATCATCACGGATTATGATGCGATGCTTTCAAATCGACCTCTCATGCGCGCTGCTAAAGTTCACACATCACAAACATTTTCCTTGTGGGCCAGCCACATATGCGAATTCACATACGCTTACATCCTGACGACCACACAAAGAGGGTTTGGGCTGGTAGAATGATGCGCACAGGAGGGCCCTTTCCATTGGACGCGCACCTACAATGGAAGAGACGATTAGGTGGTGCACCCCAAGTGCAATGCAACCACCGCCCCCATTCCGAACGTGATTTGGACCCGGTAGAATTCGCACAGGATCTCTCGAGGACACTCGCACCGCACCAAAACGAGTTAAACGACTCGGCAACGAGATCACCATTCTATCATATAAAAGGCGCTTCTTTCCCAGGGATTCTCTCTGTCCATCCAGCGAACACATATTCCTGCAATGTCTCAAGAACCAGCTGCATCTGCCACTCGCTCTGCCTCCCCCGGCCCCTCCACCACTTTTCGTCCCTTCCCTGGTCCTGGAAGTCAAATCGGCCAACATAAGAACGAAGGGCTCGGAAGAGGCGGTGTTAGGAAGCAAAAAGAGGCGCTAAAGCTCAGGCTGGACCTTAATCTCGAGGTTGAGATTGCCATTCAGGCGAAAGTCAATGGTGATATCACTCTCCCTGCTGTAGGATTTCGCATTTTGGTTCAGGGTTCTAGATGAAGTTAATCATGGGTTTTAGTTCATAAATGCCTGCGCTCGACAGAATCGTGGCAGCGGCATGATCTTAGGTTAGTATGATCGTATCGCAGAGTTCTACAATCGCTAACGTCCGTCTGCAGTTCCTCGCGAGTACTTGTTACCAGTGCCACGTAAATGCTCTTGAAATGCTCTAGAGATGGAAGCTAAAGTGAACGTCAATGGACTATGATTTGTTCCATTTTTTTTCTTGCATATCTCGACTACCCATAGTACAGCTGATCAAACATAAAATCATCATGAGCTTCATCTTCTCCATCGCCCCTATCCCCGGTGCCCACCGTATCTTTTTGGACAAGCTTGTTGGATATTCTGCCTCGCCGTCCTTTCCTGCCCAATCAAAATCAATCAGTTAACTTTATGATCTGATGTGACCATAATATTGGCGCTGTAAGTCGCCAAATACAAATCCATGGTCATGCAGTATGCGTACAGCCTCGCGTACAGAGGCGAGAAACGATTCTGGTATCTCTCGATCTTGGTATAGAACACATGCGTTGGTACCGTCCACCCTCTTCCATTACCACCATGCGAAGACTACCATACGAAGGCATATCGCGATCGGCGGCCCAACTTGAACCGCGTAATTTTCAATTGGGTTTATGTTCTACCAATCATTTCGGTTCCCTACTTGATGACTCTTCTGTACGCTTCAGAGCCATATTACTGTTCCCTATTACCTGCTGTAATCACAAAGACCGTGCTGCAATAAGTGAGAAATATTTTATTCGACGCTGACTAACTTTAACATAGTGTCTTGCAACAATGGCAACACGGGCGGTATCAGCTAATGCTGAATTTTTCCGAGGACGATAGAAAATAATCCACCGCTTCGAGTCGCTATCAATTCTCAGACGCCCAAGTCAACTATGTATGCGACACCAATGACGGACGCTACGTTTTGGTTGGCCTATGTTTAGATCGAGGCATCTGCTTCATACGTTCTGACGGAGCTGCAGAACTTCGAATCGTTAAGAGTATCCATTCTCGAGGCCCATACTGTTAACGTAAGTGTCCCATTCCGCGAAGCTACAGATTCACTTATTAGTAGATACCTTCCAAAAGACAGTGACGGCTCACTCAAATCCTGGAGGTGCCAAAGTCCACCTATCGATCGTGCCTACGCCACCAGACAAATGTGATTCCGCAATATCGAAGAATGATGATTGAGACTGATTCAGCAACTTCACGTCTGTCCAGTCTAAGGGCTGGCTTGCACCAGCGTGGGTCTCTAGATGACTGTCCGAGTACTTTGGATCTGTAGAAGCTGGTTCTCGTGAACAAAGGGATAGAAGGAGGGAGGGTCAACGTACCGAATTGCTGCATTTGTTTAGGTGAAGCGTCTCGTATGTTATAATGCGATTCCCAAATGGGAGCAGATACAGGGCCGACATCTTTCGGAGGATATGCAGTAGAAGTCCCATCTAAAACACTAGCAGTTTCAAAGGAAGCCATACCCTTGAACATTTTCCTAGACGTCCGCTTGTGGTCATGCGTATGTGAAACTTGGAAACTGCTACTTACAATGAACGACCAGCAACATTCCACCTATCAACGGACCAATGTCAGAATATTCGTGGTACGAAATATACTCAAACGTACGTGTCGGCAGCATGTATGAACGTAGCTAGGCATTCTTCAAAGCTAGCTAGATCATTTGCATTTGGGGGATGGCTCGCCCGTTTGCGACTCCAGATGTTCATAGCCAGCACAGTACCAGACATGAAGGCACTCATCTAAAATGATTTTCGATCAACGAATAGGGAGGTAGAGATATTCAGCTTACCAGAAGGTGGGGCGATGTAAACTTTATTCTTTTCAAATGGACCTGAAGGATTCGAGTACAAGATCTGGCTGCTATCGTGGATATAGCAAGAGACGAAGTGGAAAAAGAAGAGACCGTGCGTAGAAAGGGTCGATGTATATGGATCTGGAGCATATAATAGGTGTTATATAGAACCGCAGATTGATGTAAGAACAGAGTATTGTCGCGTTCGGGGTCCCAACGTACTGAAGCATGGTAAGTAGAACGTTCAACTGACATAATGGAAGGCATGCAATGGTCGGGGATGGCGTTCATCCAAGCATTCATGGAAGAATCCATGTCAGAAACGATGCGCTGCTCATCCTTTCCGTTAAGACCTAACATGTCTCGACCTTTCTTGATGGAATACAAATTCCTCGCGACAACCGACATGATCCCGCCCAACCGTATTTGAGCGTTGAAATAGCTGATTTTGGAAGGTTTATCCGCCGGTTGGCAAAAATGCACTTCTCCATTAGGACCAATATCCCAATATTCATCGTCGCATTCAACCGGCAGAAGCTATGGTAAAATATGAATGCTCAACAGAGTAATGGAATATACCAAAACAACATACTCTTCCTCTTGGATCGTGATGGGCCGGCCCAGGTATAGACTTAGTAGTCTGTCAAATGTAACAAGCGCCCTGCATACAGTTCTATCAGCCATGCCTTGGCGATAAGAAGAATAGGAAAAGTACCAAAAGGATCGTTTCTTAAGTTCATCGTCGACTGTCGGTTTGTGCCCTTTCGGCTTTTGCCTATGTAACCCAATTTCTACTGCAGCGCGTAGTCCGAGCCCAATAACGGTCCAGCTAAACTGAGGAACGGAAGTTGCCATGGAGCATATCACCCCGAGCTTCCGAAGCCATGCTGAGTTTGATTAAAAAATGGCAGGAAATATACTTACTGCGGCTTGCTGAATCTCATATAAGCTAGGAGGAGCCAACACAGCTTTCTTGAAGAGGCGGGCCTGCACGAGGAACCTCCAACCTGCGGAAAGCCTCGAGCTGGGATCGGCTAATACCCTTGGGTCATCGGAATAACGCGACGCAATATGTAAAACATGAAGTAATACAGCACCAAATTTTTCATCGCGTAAATGTAACCCATTGGCGACGTCTTTCGTGAATGTAGGTCGATGCAGGATTGGAAGAATTGGATTGATCGTTCCAAAATATATGGCGACTAAGTTCATAATAAGATCATTATCAGGAAAAACATAAAAAGGTTTCTCGGCATCGGCAGTAGCCTGCTCCCACTAGTCGTCGGGGCTGGTTAGCGAAAGAGAAGCCGGCTGAGGCTCAAAACAGGACACACAGGATATAAATTGGAGTAGTCGTGCAGTTGTATCGTATTCAAGCGACCCGTCAACTTCCTTTTGGTAGAAAGGGCGTTGATGAAGAGCACCAAACTACTTGATGGTCCAAAACACCTCCCGCTGAAGGCCGTGTCGTGTTTCAATGACAGATTCTTCATTTTTTCCACAAGGTCCAGGTGCGTAAAGTCGTCATCGAGCTCAACCGCTGTCTCAGACGACATATGACTTGCAGATGATGAATCTCTTTGTAAGGATACCCCCGACACGCGTCTTGGCATCTCCTGTATTCCTTCATGAAGAATGGCATCAGGATTGAGCTATAATTACTGAGAAAAGTCACGGGGAAGGTGCACTATTTCCTAACCTCTTTGATTATACGTTCCAATTGTCCGGCGCGTCGGACTAATCCCGCCACGTAGCTGGTCAGATGTCAGTTGCATATCATGAAGTCACCTGGTTTACAGTTGTCGCACCTAGCATTGTTTTTGCGTCTCTGGCAAATTGGAGGATGCTGGAGTAACGTTTTGCGTTGGACTATCGAAATCAGTGCCTATTTAAGCATGGAGACAGATAGCACTGACTTGGACTTGTGACCCCGTTTCTGTACAAGAGTAGAGTTGGGGTAAGTCTTAGTATTTCACAGCGGAAGGAAAACTCGCTCTCGCCGGAGCCACATAGGTGCACTCTGATTCGACCGCAATGCAACTTGAGCAACGGTTTCCCTGTTCAGCATCGTGATCACCTATATTTTTTCAATATTTAGCTGTTGTATTAGCTGATCTGATGAAGCGGACGGGTTGTTGTACATTTTACTAGCAAACCTACGTCAGAAACTGCTACGAAAACAAGGCATAGACAAGCTTACTTTTCCTTACACGGCACCTATCGCACGCACGAGTCAATCTCCTTTTCCTGATAGACAATTCATCCTCCATGATGGTGGAAAAAGGCGGACATAGCTACCGGACGACATCTTCCGGTTCCTGCTGTGAGAAAAGTAAGAAACGTGCGTTGGCACAGCCACGCTGCTCTTGCTCCCAGCCCGTCCCTTACAAGCCAAGGTCCTAGAAATAAGTAGTTGGCTAGTAAGTACTCTGTCGTGTCGTACTAACGCAAATATTTTCCTCAGCTCGGAAAGGGGCTGTTTTGCTGATGCATGTCGCGAAGACTGAGCTCCTGCGCGGCGCGCCTGTCATTTGCTCTTCAACCGGAACATCCGACCATGGAATAATTTAATTCTCTCTTCTTCCTGACAACTCCTGCATCTCAGAATGCAAGCAGCAGGATTGGGCGCCACGAAACTACCAGTGAAATACAAAAGGATCTTCTGGGAGAGCGCTTTTCGAATAGCTTTTCTTGCGTTCAGTTGTCTATGTTTGTTCTCGACGCATACATCGTTACGTGCACAATTTGCCTGGCTTGCTCTGCTGCGGCTCCTCACTTTCATTAAACGGTCCGGTGAGACAGTCACTTACCTCCCCAAACTATCCCCTTCTAACAAAATCACTCCAAGATTTCCGAAATTGTAAGCCCTGCACGGTACAGTGAGACCGTTTGAGAAAATCCCTCGCGCGACGCGACTTACGTCAAACACGCTGCCGTTCGAACGAATTCTAGCGGTTTGTCATCACTCTCACACATATGACCGTATTTCCGCACTCGATTCGTCACAAACTTTCCCAGGAAGACGCCAAGTTCAATGTCAACGTCACCTGGTCGGTAGTTTTCCACTCACGCTTGGTCATATGGCGCTCTAGGATGTATCCCACCGCGATGGTATAAATGGTCTTCGTCCTGAATAGCTTTTACACAGCGCAATGTTCTATCCTAGCCTCGAATCATTTCACACAGACCTTCCGACAGTCGTCGGCACTGTTCTTGTACTGGTCATTCTGGTTCATCTGGTCCCCTACCTCGTCGATTCCCATGGCCTCCGCTCGTATCCTGGGCCTCTTATCGCCAAGTTTTCCGACGCATGGCTGGCATACGCGTCCTATAAGGGACATCGTTCAGAAGTCATCCATGACTTGCATAAGAAATATGGTCAGTCCCGTATTGACTATGTTCATTATTAAAATGGCTCATCCATATCCCCCAAGGACCCTTCGTTCGCATAGCGCCTGACCATATTTCTGTCGCCCTTCCGGACGCACAGACCACCGTCTACGGGCATGGGAATGGCGCGCTCAAGTCCTCGTTCTATGATGCTTTCAATCTTTCTTCTTCGCATAGCATGTTTAGCACTCAGGATCGCCAGGTCCACACTCGGAAACGAAAGATTATCTCACATAGTTTTTCGCCGAAGAGTGTGCTGGAATTTGAACCTCATGTACGTCATTTCGTCGGTCAGCTGCTACGACAGTGGGATAGGCTATATGACGGGGCCCTGGAAGGCCTGTCAGGTCAGGAAGGTGAGGGTTGGACAGGTCGTGAAGGGCGGTTTTGGCTGAACTGCTTCCCGTGTAAGTGGGCTTCCTCTGTCAGTTTGAGCCTCTGATTTCATACCATGTTCTGCAGGGTTGAACTACCTCACATTTGATATCATCGGTGATTTGGCGTTCGGCGCGCCATTCGGAATGGTCAAGGCAGCCAAGGACATAGCTCAAGTACCTGAAGATCCGTATGCCGTGATGAGTTCTTACGGACAGGGGACCGGAGCGAAGTATGCTATGAAGGAAATCCCAGCTGTCAAGATTTTGGGTGGACCAATGGACCATACTATCGCCACGATGGGAGTGGTTCCTTCGTGGTGGAGGCTGCTGCTCAAGCAGAACCCGCTCTTTAGGCAAGGCCAAGAAGATCTTGGCGCCATATTCGGAATGGCAGTCGTGGCCGCTACGAAGAGGCTGGAGGTACCTACAGATAGGAATGACCTGTTGAGCAAGCTGCTAGCCGGAAAGGATGAACAAGTAAGCAACGTTTTGCAGATGGCTTGGTAGTTATGTTAACCTGCTTCATTCAAGGGCAATCCAATAGGCCGAGAAGAGCTCAGTACAGAGGCATTTGCGTTTCTTATTGCGGGATCAGACACGACCTCCATGTATGTCTTTATCTATTTCGTCGGCGCAAGGGTGAACTAAACATTTGGCTCAGTTCTTCCTGCGCCATCATCTACTACCTGGCACGCACGCCGGACATACAAGACAAACTCCACAAAGAGCTTGACGAGCACCTTGACTCGGACGTCGCTACAGCTGAACGAGTCAAGAAACTCACCTATTTGCACGCATGTATCAACGAAGGGCTGCGACTGCACTGCACACTGGGTGTGGGACTTCATCGTGTAGCACCCGAGAGTGGTATGATGGTTTCCGGAAATTATTTCCCCGGAGGCACAATTATTAGTGCTCCTATCTACACTATCCACCGGGACCCTACGGTATGGGGGAACGATGTGGAAGAGTACAGGCCGGAGAGATGGTTTGAGTGTGATAGTGCGGCTGTGGCGAAGGCGTTTACTCCGTTCTCTGTTGGCCCTCGGTATGTGATTTCAATCCTACTATACGTATACTCATACCATCACAGAGCTTGTATTGGGCGTAATTTAGCAATGCTCGAGCTGCAAATTATCATTGCGTCGATTTTGAAGCGCTTCCATTTCGTGTTGGAGAATCCTGATGAAGCTGTATGTGCTGATGCCTTCTCTTTTGCGTCTCACTGACCTGGGATATAGCTCGGAGTGAAAGAAGGATTTTTGAGGAGGCCAACTGGTTGTCGTGTTGGAGTGAAAAGACGCGAAGTGTTCTAGATAGCCGTTCGGGGTATTGCAAAGCTGGCTCTTACCGAATATACAACTTTTTCTCAACCATAAGTATGCTACTTGATGTTACCAGTGTCGTCTTGCCGGCGTCCAGGACCTCGCTGGTTTTACCAGTACTTGCAGGTTAAAAATACAAGCAGAACCAATGATGCTCATTATCTAGGAGTTTTGAGAGGAATTGAAGAAGAACATCCGGCAGTGCGGTACCTTTCATGTAACATGTGGAATTAGACAACTTGCTGCTAATCAGTAACAGAAAGCATGGCAAAAAGCTCGCTGCGACTTCACCGCCAGGCGTTTCGCAAGAATGTAGAACACATTTCGTGATTGTAAACATCCTGTTGAAGTCCTGTGCTTGGGTTTCTCGCCGAGAGTCCGATCGGGCCGCTAGTTGACAGGTTTCGGCTAGGAAATGACTGGGTTCGGGAAGACCTTGCTTTCCAGCAGGTAAAGAACGTTATGCAGACGATACTGAATGAAACTGCAAATAACTTTGCGATGATGAAACCTACATCAACTGACTTTGAAGATTACGTCTGCGGAACGAAGGTTTTGAGGTGTTTATTTATTTGAATTCATCGAAGATATGTAGAAGTCCACCAAACTGGCAATAAAATGTCCATGTCCGAGAAATAGATTGTCAAAGGTAGGGAGGTATCACGGGAAACCTATGGTATATATATAACACAGCATGAGCGATAGATAGATGTTTAGTAGATCAACTTGAAAATTTCGTGCAACACCACCGAGCCATTTTGTTTTCGTCACTCCTGGGAGATATATATCTTCCGGAGCTGGTCCTCGGTAGCTCGTTCGTCGCAGACGGGACATGCCTCTGTATATTTCAGCGCAGCGCGGATGCATCGTACGCAATACACATGTCCACACAGAGTCGCGCAAAGGGTCATGTGCTCTTTTTGGCACATTGGACACGAGAAGTGAGACGTCTCTTCGACGTCTTCTTCATCACTTTCCTCTGCGTCGTCGGTTGCCGCATTATTCTGACAGGCAGAGTCAGGATCAGGCAAACATCAGGAGAAGAGACTACTCACAAATAATGGCGGCAACCTGAGATACTCCGGGTCTTCAAAGTCGTACTCATTGCTGTCTTCCCACGAGGTATCAAGGGGCTCGTCTCCTGATTCGGAGACTTCGTCGGGATACTCCTCCTCGCCCCTTTCGTCCTCCCAGCCGTCTTCGAGGTCATAATAGTCCTCTTCTTCTGAGTCATCGTCGTCACTGTCGCCGTCGTCGGAGCTATGAACTTGCTCCATGTGGACACGAAAGCCTGCCGCTGTACGGCAGTGCTTGTCGCAGGGCACACAATAGTGATGATTGGGTGCAGTGACGCAGTGCTATAGAAAAAAGCGCGTTAGCGTCTTGAGCGGAAGGAGAAGAGCAACGGACACTTACGCGACGAAGAATTTGGCCATTCAAAAATCGACGGCCACATCTCCAGCATTCGGGATGGTCGTTGGAGTTCATAATGTGCTCGGCGCGTTGCCGTTTATCGAAGAAGTACTCGTCGCACAAAGCGCAGTACACTCCGTCCATGCATATCATATCAGTAGACATGATGATAGATGATAATAGTTGTTTGGTTCGATGGTTGTTGTTGGTTGTTCAAAGTGATGTTATTGTGGGGATCCATGCTACAGAGCACACCTATTTTATACCTTTCGCTAGTATGCGCATGTTTTGGCACGTCTTAGACATGGACTCCGGAGAAACAGGCCTCTAAGACTACCGGTTCTTCGAAATGGCCCCTCGGGTCGAAAAGGAGGCATTTTTTGATTCCACGGAAGTATCGACTGCGATCGGACAAAAGGGGCTACTGCTCAACACAGTTTCGAACGGCGGTAAATTCCTGTGAATCGAGTCCTCGACCGGCGGCAGTCTTAGGCATCCAGTGCGGCGTTGTGGTATGATGGCGAAAAGTTGAAACTCACTCTAGCTCGATAGCTTCCGTCCTTCATTTCTCCCGTAACAACGCAGGTTTCACCAAGATGTCTGAGAGAAGGACGATCTTCCGGTGAAACAAGTTCACGCAACCACCGGTTTCTTCATGGGCGAGCCTACGCTGAGCAAACGAGGCGCACGTCGGTAAAGACTCGGTGAGGTAGGACAAGGAACAGAAAGTACATCGCTTGGGAGGGTCTTTGAAGTCGCCGGGACTCTGATTTATACGGAGGAGCAGCATGCTATCCAACATATGAGCAGGTCGCCTCTTTGTGCACTGATAACAGATTTTCTTCATCAAGACGCTACATCCTCGTTCACTATCGCCCTCTGGCGACGCTTAGCAGGTACGACGTATACACAAAGTTTTTGAGTCTCGCGCAGGAATGTCAGACCATTAACCGCAATCCTCACTGAATCTGGTCAAATCTCTCCTTCAGAAATGGTAGAACAAATTCGACGGCGAAGAACACAGATCCATCATAGCGCATTGGATCTCTCGAAGACCTTCAAACGCTGCTGAGAAATGGAATTGTCTTCGGTCTCGTACACCCTTGATCGAATGCAGGAGAATTCGTTCGCCGCCAAGGATACAAAGAAGAGTTTCGCGATTCTTGTCGCCAGTGAGATAGGAATTTCATGGGATGGATGGAATGCAGTATCGAGGCAGCAGACTTCCCGCCAACATAGAATGGAAATTCTGTCGTTGAGTCTGAGAACAGGACTTCTGGTAGATGAATTCTGGCGACACATACCTTCCTTCCCTGTACCATTTGCCTTATCCAGCTTCTCATGAGCGCATACATTGACTTGGCGCGAGAATCTCGGCCAGACATTAGCCAGAAAGGCGGCGAGAGAAGGGGTCTGCGTCAATCTTGCCTAGATATAGGAGCACGGGACGAATAATTTTTTTTGACTGGAGCGCGCCCTGTCACTGGCACGAACACGGTATTCACCGCCGCCACCAGTCACATCGTAGGTGGTACCCTAGTCTCAACGATAGAACAATACTGGAAGGAGTGTCCGGTAAGCATTTTTAGGGCGACGACAAGATCTTACCATCATGAAGATCCCAAATAGTATAGGCTCAGCGACCTCCTTTCAATAATGTTGCTCAATAGAATGCGCGATTGCAGTGTTCGTGAGACCATGGATGATGTAGACGATATTGGAGAGCAATGATTGACTTCAAGGCGGCTCACAAAGGCAAGGACCAATCGAAACTCCGACACCATCTCTGCCGTCCTCTGCCGGTCGGCGTACTTTCTAACTTCAACCACCACCGAATTATCACAACGAAATCACCAGCAGCTCTGTACCTGCTAATAAACACCAACTTACGGTCAAGAATTTGAAGAAGCAGATTGACCATATCAGCCGAGCTTGCTGCTAATTTTGATGGGCGACTTATTACTAACATCACTCGAAGGAATGGCTGGTCATGAAGTGAATTACAGCGCTACGCGTAACAAGAGTACATTCAATCGAATCTTATATCCACCATCGCATCAAATCCTGGGTATAATGAACATTTAGTTAACTTATTTGATAAGGTAGCCGCGACTAACCTGAAACTCATCACTGACCACGCCAATTATGCTCAATTATAGCGACATGTCTACTCACTACAGACGCGTCAAAAGTCAGTCACATTCATAGACGACATCAAGAAATACTCACAGGAGCGACAAGGTGATATCACCATTGACCTTGGCCTGGATGGCAATCTCAACCTCGAGGTTGAGGTCCAAGCGAAGCTTCAAGGCTTCCTTGGCGGGTGCGGCAGCCTGCCTGTTGGAGCGAGCAGCAACCTGTCCACCGGCAGAGGCGAAAGAGGGAGAAGAGAACTTGGTAGCAGTTTCTGGGGCAGACATTGTCGTTAAACTGAAGACTCTAACATCAACTAGGCCAGCTTTTATACCATCCATCCGGGACGGTGTTCGCCCACATCCGCCGCAACTTTGCCCATTCTGGACCTCAATGTCGCGGCAGGTTTGCAGGTACGTAAATCTCGCGCGATCCTGTGATACTTTCTCCCGGTCTGATTTCGTAAACGCAGTTGATCTGATTCAACGCGCATTCAAAATCAAATTATACGTAGGGAGACAAATTCGAGACCAGAAGCTGCCCTCGGAGAATTAATGACTGCCGTAAAAGCGGGTGTGGCTGGAGACCCGACACTCGCTCCCTCTGCTGTCTTCCATTCCACGTCGCTGCGTATCCTATCGTCGCGAAACGGGAACCTCTCACCGAATGTTTGTCGCAGAACTCGGCTCCCGGACGCTGGTTGCGGAAATAATGGTCGAGGGTGAAAAATCGACAACAGAAGAATGCGACACCGAGTTGGCCGAACATCGTGCGGTGTCAGCTCGCTTTGATGCCTATGCGTTGTCATTTCCGTACCTCGGAGTGGGGCCTGACATTCTCTCCGACGTGAAGATGGTCTAATGACCTTCATTCAAACTGAAGACCGGCCCCGGGAATAATTATACTGTTCGTCGCTCCTATAATTCCTTCATTAACACTGCTAATTGAAACACGAGCAGATGCACCGGCTCTTTTACAATAAATTGAATATCAATCATCTTTTAGGCACACGGGACGCGAGAACTCTGAACCATACCAGGCCAAGCAAAACTCTTTCTTTCGAACTGCAATATTCCTACGGCGAGTCGGAAACTCAGTTCTCTGACTAACTTACGGGACACTTTGGCCCAGACGCGTCTGAAGATCTGGGCATGTCAACTTAATTGATGGAACGGGATTCGGTGGCGCACGGGAGTTCAATTGCGTCTCCAGTACGTGCCGCGGTTGTTTTTTCCTGCAGCTATGCTTCTCCCTCGAGTCTTTCCCTGCCGATCAACCCACCAACAAAGCACGGTAGAGTCTTCCGGTCGTTCCCTATCTCCGTCTGGCGCGTAAGGAGCCCCAAGGAGGTACTGAAGCTCAGCCCTGACCCCAAGATCGCCATCGACGTGAACGATACACACTTTCGTTTCTGTAAGTCCGCTGACTTCTGCTGACTTATTCTCTATTCTAACTTGGTCACTAGCAAGTAAAAATTCGCCGCAGCAAGAGCCCTTGGGTTAGTCTTCGTCTGGTTTCTTAGCTTCCTTGAGGCTGTTTCGTTGCAGTTCTTTTAATTATGGGATCTCGAGTTGGCTAGAAGATGGAATGTACCATTCGCTCCGTGTCTGTCTTGAATAGCCCTTTGCTACTCACGAATATAAGCGTGTAGTCGTGCTCAAGTCTATGACCAACCGTGCTGAATCTCCTCTCCATTAGCTTAAATCAACTATGTTTGTTCTCAGCACTGCTACGATATACGTCAGAACGTCCTTCTAAGATGTTGATGTGTAGGCCTAAGAGCTTCCTTCGTCCCGAATTAATTATGCCTATGTTCGAAATTCCGGGTTCTAATGTATGACAATCCCTTCAGTCTTACAGACAGACCAGTCGTTCAGACAGATACTATTGCTCTTGACATTATATTTCGACATATCATGCGCAGACAAGTAGTCGATCGAAAAAGGCATTGGAAAAGCACTACTATATACAAGTGGTGACGGTATACATGAAGCATTCTTCCACAGACATACTGCCCGGCCCTTATCAATCAACCAGAATCCAGAATCCGTCCGAGAACCGAAATCACAATGCTAGTACCAGTGAAAAGCTCAGTACACAAAAACCGGCACCGATTAAAGAAAGCTGCAAACCTGATAACCCAAGGAAACCTGATTTGTTTTCACTCATACTGAGCACGTTTACTCACTAAATCGGAATTCAGCGATAGCCCCACTACAGAACAACGAAGGGACAATTTACAGCAGCGAGAGAGTGATGTCACCGTTGACCTTGGCCTGGATGGCGATGTCGACCTCGAGGTTAAGGTCCAACCTGAGCTTCAGCGCCTCCTTGGGGGCAACAGCTCCAGCGCCGACACGGGCGGTTAGCTGGCCGTTCCTAGCATCAGCATCAGCGGTGGCGCCGAGAACAGAGACGCGAGTTTGAACAGTTGGTTGAGACATATCGTTGTGAATTTTGGAAGGCCGGGACAGGCCCTTTTATACGAGCATTGAGGGTGAGAGAAACGTCATGTCGAGTTCTCCTCGGTATGGGGGATTGCGGATGCGGAATTCCATTTCATTGCATAGTAAAATTCAATGAACAAATTAATCCTTGTACACGAAACGTCACATCCCTTGGAACTTTGAGACCGGTGGGGTACTTATTACTTACAAGGAAGTTTTACAAAGCGCAAGTTCAGCCGATGCGTCGCAGCCTCAGGTTAGAAGTGAAGGTACACCGGCCGTTTGCAAATATGAACATGTATGGATGGGTTCCTTCCAAGCCCGTTTTGAGATCAACCGAATAAGCCAACGAGTCAATATAACTCTGGGTCCCTTCCAAGTAGGTTTGCAGCGAGGCCTCGGTAGAATTAAATGACGCGATCGACGCATTGTATTGCTTTCAGTTACACGCAGGTCATGGGAGGTCTAACGTTGGATTTTATCGAACACGCTCAGTCAGCGTTCCCATGACCGTGGACTAGAACGCGGGCGTAATGTAATGGGAACGAGAAATCGAGTCTAGGTCATCGCGTAAGCATAGCAGTTGTCGATGGATCTAGTGCCTCGGACCGGAACCGCGGACCTACAAGCGCCCATAAGATGTCAGGGTCTTTCCAGGACGAAAATATACACGATTACGAGTGTAATCGTAGGAAAGTCGGATGCGGGCCGCTGCAATGACTTATAGCATGGATTCTCAGCCCCGCCACGACGCCGGGGTCTTGGAGAAGAGTTTACAGAGAATAGGGCGCGGGCGCTGCTGCATAATTCTCAGTCCCCGTATAGAAACATTGAGTTGCGAAGACTCAAGTACTCACGTTCCAAACTGCAATGATAGTATCATATTACAAGAATCTATCCGTTTTGCCACAATACTGGCCCCTGGTAACCGAACTTTTGACAAAAAGAGCGAGGCTTGTCTCGTAGGAAGAGGTACCGGTTCATCACTGGCGAACAGCTGGCTAAAGGAAACGAAGAAGTTCAGTTTGGATCAATCCGGGCCAAGTATATCACACCTGCGCTGTTGATGATGATGGGCTTCGCCTGAGGGTAGTTTGCGAATAAAAAGCCCGTCTCACAAGATCTTAGCGCATTGGATTGCTGTATAGCTGCGGATGTTGTTACTAGGAAAGAAATTGAGAAGGATAGAAGTGGCACTCAAACGATATCAATCTCTGCTGCGTAGTGATAACGCTTTCAAGCGTGCGGAAAAGCTGTAAGGGTGCTTAGCTATAGTTTCCGGTATGCAGAAAGAGGGTTCGTCGAGTGATAGAAGTTCAGGAAGCCCTCAGGACACGCAGGCGGCATGGTGCTGTTACTTCCAGATGTGGCAATGATCGTCCGCCTCTTCCTATAATGTTTTGATGTTCAACATTCCTCGTTGCCCGCCTAGCTCAATCGGATAGAGCGTCAGACTCTTACAATTCCCAGACGGAGCCACATAACATCTTGACGAGGTCGTACAGCGTATTTTTGGCTGCTGCGGCGATTTCCTTTTTGTTTTGTCGCGTTCTGGGGCTGTCACTGGGTTCGAGAACTTGGACAAGGTGGGATCTGACGGTAACGAGGGCTGTATCGAGGTCGTCCATGGTGGTAGGAGGAGACGAGACGAGATGGTACATGGTGGTAGGAGGACAATTACGTCACTGCCATCGTGTCGTCCTATTCGAGCCGCGCCGATCGAGCCATGCTGTATTGGTGTGCTCGCCTAGTGCTCGCCGCCGAGCGAGCTTTTTTGCTACGATAGTGCTGCGCTATCAGTTTGGCCTATGCTGGTTGGTCCTCGTTGTATACTAGCTCGCAAGGTGCTCACCTATGTGTGTCGCCTATGCTCGCAGTATAGTTGGTATACTCGCCAGATGTGTGCTCGCCTATGCTCACCACTTGCTCTCGCCTATGGCTCGAATGGCTCACTGATGCTCGCTGCTCGTCCCTCGCCTACGGCTCGGGCTAGCCGCGAGGGTCCCTCCCGGCGCACGAACCATTTTTATACGTTTCCCCCTCTCCTGGAGGCAGGAAAAGGTGTAGATCCCAGAAATTTCATTTTGAAAAGTATTACATCGGTACTAAAGGATGTTTTGTGTGATGAGACTGTTCGATCGCGCCGATCACTCAACGATCGATATCGGTCGACAGACTTAGATCCTTGTCATCATCACTATTCTATCGTGTGAGTTATCCATTTGGAGCTCTTGCCAAAGTAATATTTTAATCCGCATTTCCCTTTGGCATGCAGGAAGGATATCAACAACCGGTCAAGAAGGGAGAAGGGCAGGTTACAACATGTTACAATTTCTTGTCTCCGAGTACGACTCGTCAAGAGGAGATGGGCAAACGTCCATCGAATCAGAGGCAACCTTCTGATTCAGACTTGGATTCAGCATAACAGCCAGACGAACTGACCTTATACCGAACGGCATTCAACGATCCGAATCCTGTTTCTGCGACCGTGCGCCCGAAAATCATTGCCTGGGAAGTGAGCTATCTTCAAGTCGACCGTGGATACGGTACACTCACAGGAGCGAAAATATGATGTCTCTGCTGACTTTTGCCTTGATGGCGATGTCAACCTCCAGGTTGATGTCCAAACGTAGTTTCAGTGAGCCTTCTCCATCTGCTTGACTAGCGATCTCTTCGTCGTTGTCTCCAAAGGAAAAATTAGGTGCACCAAGGATAGAAGCGTAGGGAGCTGGTTCAGACATTTAACGTTGGTGAAGGTGACTTCCCTCGAAGAACTCGTCGGTGAGTGAACCAGCTGCCTTGTCGTGCCCGCTTAGACCAATTCTGTTTGTATGGGTTCAAGTCCTCTTGGGAAAAGACGCGAATTTCGTCGAAGACGGGGCGTGATTGCATTTATGCTACGGTCCTCGGGATGGAAGAGATGAGTGGCGGCAGAGGCCCTGCAGGTGTGCGAGTCGCTGTGACTTACTGTTGTTGGAGGTATAGGGATCTTATTAGGGCTCCAACCGTTTAGTTTTCGTTTATGCTCAGGTCCAAACTAAACGGAAATGGTTGCGAAACCATTTATAAACAGTGTATAAATGATTGTACAGGGTAGATCACATGACACTTTAGAATAGCGGCAAATGTGCATCAATTCTCTTATTAATACGTGTATCTACAGCATTCTAGATTGAATGTTGAGAACGCATCCTCTCTATAGACATTGGTCATGACATGGTAGATGGGATCATCGGATAAAGCCTCTTTCACTGCGGCTGGAGGGAGGTTACTGCAAAGGCATGCAAACTGCTGCACAAGGGCAGACCGAAGAGACTGAGGGTGTCATGGTTCTTGGAAGCCTGAGGGTGCAGTTGGACATGGTGAAGACGGCCTTTATATTGAAGAAATACTTGTGAAAATACACAATGACTCACTAGTCGAGAGGCAGACATTGTCCTTGAACAATTGGGGAATGAGATAATATTGGTCAGTGGTGGTTGTAGCATCGCACAAAGTCAACGAAGTGGATAATTGATGCACTGCCTAATTGGATGATTAGGTAACCATTTACCATTTAGTTTACTGTTTGTTTACCGTATGCCTCTCGACCTAAACTTAAACGGTAAACTAAACGGTTTAAACAGTGTATAAACTGTTTCATACAGAAACGGTTGGAGCCCTAGATCTTATTCGGAAGACCTTTTCTTTACGCACGTACCGCGCTGTGATCACATGCTTATCATGTGATCTTCTCGGACATATATATACTACGTACCTTCCTTTCCTGCTCCTCAGTCGCTTCCACATTTCTCGTGCACTGAGGAGGTTAGTCTATTTCGTTTACTCGATTTTGCATCGCCTTTACTTAACCTTTACCTTAGATACTTACTTTGTGTACTCGGTATAGGTAAATCAGTCGCTTCCACATTTCTTGTGCACTGAGGAGATACTTACTTCGTGTACTCGGTATAGGTCCTTAGGCTGACAACTGTCTGTTTAAGGGCGGCCAATGCCGATCAACAGGATCGCTGTTTCTATAGGTCCTTGTAGGGCCATCTTTCGGTCGAGCCGACGCTAACGGCATTTTTGCCAGCCCCGGTATAGACACCTCCATCTCTACCTTCGTTTGTTGATTCAGAATATCAGTACTTACTTCAATCGCACCTCACCCCTTATTCATGTCAAGTTAGTGTATGATCGGCCGACTGTATCCCCCAGATACTCCAATGGCTAGATATATTTGCAATATTCTTTAGACAGCATGCACTCTTTTGGCTTGTTCTTCTCGGCGTTTATGGAGGGGCATCACTGCATATTCCTCACCTTCCACTCGAAACAATTTTAGTCCAATACACTCGTTACTAACCCGCCTAACGTTGCTCCTACCCTCACTCGTCGTAAAGAGTGCCCTTCACAACAACCTCTTAGACTCCACTTCAACCCCACGTCTCATAAGCTCCTTAGCTCATTCGCATGCCTTCCGTCGGTGTGAGAGTAAAATTAGAGTCGTCATATTGAAGCTAGGATCATTGCAGTAAACACGTACTTTCGCTTCTCAGAGTGACTAGAAGCGATGCAAATCCAAGTTCTCAGCTTGGTGTGCTTTTGGCTCATGACCGTTCTGTGGCCAAATTTCGGATTATTGATTGATTGACCTGGCCCGGGTGAGAAGTGGGTTCGTCAACGTGCTCTGATGCAGATCATTACCACCCCGTACTGCGAGTGTCTTTCTGAAGCCATGCCGTTCCATTCATTCTAAAGATACGCTTGCGGGAGAATCACTGATATTCGTTTGTCATAGGCACCGTGGCATGGTTACATTTGTTCAGACTTTAAGGTATCTCCTTCTGTTTCTCGATAGCCATTGGGGTTCACTAGAAATATGGGCTCAGCAGAAGCTGATATCGGTATCTAAGACCGCAGTTTAGATGCGTAATCACAGTCATGTAACTCGAAGATGAGTGCGGAGAGTCAATACCGCTGCCATGGCCTTGTTGTTTTTCCATAGGGAAGCAAGGGAGGCTGACGCCTTCGAAGTATAGCATACGACGTTAAAGGCTGGCCTAGAACAAGTCGTGGTACTCGCGAAGGCCGGTTGCGACGTTTCGTCGTCGTCAAAGGGAACGGAGAAAGACATGACGTGCTCTCCAAATGGTATTGAAGAATACGGGGACCTGGGACAGTCGGAAAAAGCCATGGATGAGACATCTAGAGGGACTAGAGCTCTCCGTAAAGTAAACGGAGTAATTGGCGCTTGAATTTACCATCGTTATAGTACTGCTTTACGCAAGAGCGCTTGATACGATGCCACCAATAGAATAACGAGGGAATGTGGGACCAAGGCAATGCAAAGTCGGTCTAGGCAGACCTGTCACTCAAGAATTCATCAGAGTTAAACGAGAGGAGACTGAGGGTTTGGAGCCAATCATGCCAAAGCGGGAGACCAGAGTACGGTCATGAGTTCGCTTGCCTGTCAGCATGACATCTTGGCCGCGAGAGCGATATTTCTATATGGAGTGACCTCCACGGCTACCGATGCTCCCCGGTGAGAGACAGGCAGGAGCTTTGCAGAAAGCGATGATGGTGAGAAGGAAAGGTTCAAATTTGCCGTGGCAGCGCACCATCAGCAACTCCGATCAACTGATCGCCAATGCGAATCCGGGCCGAATGCCGGTATCCGTTTCAAGAAAGAACCATCGCGTCAATTCCCGAGGTTCTGAAGAAGAGATGTACTGGTGATGTTCTCAGAAACGTGTAGGGACTCTCCCCCTACCATCTACGCACTAACTGCCTATGGCATTTCTAAATTCTAGTACCTTTACAATCTCTGCGCAACAATCTCGATTCGATTAGAAGCCTGCTCCCGTCGAATCCCCATCTGGAACTTTCATTTATTAGCCCCGTGTTGCTGTCGCGGTACCGAGAATGACCCAAGGCCCTTTGAAGCTGCAAGCGGAAAGAGACGTAGACGAAGATGTCAGTCCATAAAGGGGTACTTGAAAGTTGAAACTCCAGTGGCGCCTTGAAGGAAGACGACAAAGGTACAAGAAGTTTGTGTGATATTATTCGGAAAGAAGGAGATGGCAATGTACCTCGACAAAAAATAGGCCTCAGAAGTTGATGCAAGGTCGGTCAGTATTGCACAATAATAGCTAATGAACCTCTAGATCAGACAAAATTATGACGGCTATGATGTGCGTGCGTTTAGATTAGATTATGGCAACATCGTGATGTGGGTTATACTTCCCATTGAGTTAGGAGATCACATGTTTTCCCTGTTTCTCCTCGATACCCAGGTAAATAACTCGTTTCTCAGAAGCTTTGTTTTTGGAAGGAGCCTTCCAGGTTCCCGGAAGGTTTGAACGTGCGTCCAGACCCTAACTTTAGTATACATTCTATGCATTATGTTGAACCGAAATCCCTATATTTACCAGGTCTTCAATCGCGAAATGGAATACAACACATGGGGTAACTTGAATCATTGCCTGGAGTTTACCAATTCAAACTGAGCATTACGTACCGCGAGCACTGGTACTCCCCGCCCCTCCAACATTAATCAAACTCCTAAGGACGACGAGGCACCCGGTTTACATGCAAGACAACGTTCTGCTTTAGTAATGTTACTCCAACCCCCTCGTTTTCAACTTATGCGGGACTGTCATCGCGTATAAAAGAGCCAGTCCCTTCAAGGTATCGACTCAGATACCAGCTGCACAAGTATCATGTCTTCTCAACCCGCTACCCAATACGCTACCTCCGAGAACACTGCCTTTGGCAGTGAAAACAAGGTCGGGCAAGTCACCAACCAAGGCCTCGGCCGCGGTGGTGTCGGCAAGCAAAAGGAGGCTCTCAAGCTCAGGTTGGACCTCAACCTCGAGGTCGAGATTGCCATCCAGGCCAAGGTCAACGGCGACATCACCCTTTCCCTCTTGTAAGTTCGAATGTTCTATTTTGCGATTGAACTTAGAGCTGACTTCGCGTGCAGGGAGTAAATCCTCCAAGGGCCAGTAGCTTGAATTGAGCGCACCAGTCGGGTTACAGGTCAGCTTTTGCGTCGTTTTCAAATCGCACTTGGAGCTAATGTCTTACCGACGTTGTTAGGACTATTGTCAAGGAATCCTGTTAGCCGTACTTGTTCACATCGCTACCTCGATAGAAATTTACCATCCTTTTATCATCTCTACTTTCCCCTTCGCCAAATTGCTTCTACTCTTTCTTCCCAACTGTTCCTTTTTATCCTCATCCTTGTTTTTGTCAATTCGTGCCAATTATCGAGTCGTATAGCTTTTGTGTCCAATATCAGTGTCGCTCCTCACCGCGTTCAAATTCAAGTATATTTACCTTGATTTCCAAAGAATGTGTGAATTAGTTTGAAGTCTACATTCGTGAGTCATTTTGATACCAGCAAGCAGTCCGAATCCTAGTCGACCGAAACAGAGAAGGCGCTAGAAAAATGCCACGAAAGCGGTGCAAAGGATGATGGGTAACAGAATGAGGGTTACTTGTTAGTATGTATTTCGTCGACGTGAGGTAGTAAAATTTGAACAGCAAGGAGGTGCCGGTGAAAGTGATGAAAAGAGATACGAGACGAGGGTAGGACTATTGATAAGGGAAAGCAATTTTTCACGCTCACGATGATGCGCCGAAGTAAACAAGCACACAGAGGAGTCTTTCGAGACATGGAAGGGGACGAAAGATCATCTCGAAGAGATGAATTACTGAGTCCACGAGTCCACGAAATAATGCTACCAAGAATTTCAAGAAACACCCAGGTGAAATGAGCGCATTGCAGCGCGACCAAAGCGCGACAAACGCGATAACTGGTAATCAGCTTGGACAATCGCTTTCCTTCGGATCCCTTCAACTGGGGAAGGCAATACTGAGACCGAATCGCGGCACGCGTCAACGAACAAGAGATAGGAAGCCTAAGGAGGCTGAAGCGAGTTCATTGTTACTGATCTTTAGGTCGTCGTGGCAAGAGACAAGACTGCCGGCCCGAGTTCCGTTCATACCGATTCGACCCGACTTGCCATAAACAGCTCAGGATTTTTGATCGCACGGTGTACACAGCCACGTCTACTTTGTGCACATACCAGTGCGACTACTACGGTAACAGCACCACACAAACAAAATTCATAAATAAAGTGAAGAATTACAACTTGACTCTCATAGAGCTTTGGGTTAGCGACGAATCGTCGACACGTTGTACATCGTTGCGACTTGCCCCGTCCAATAACTAGTCAAAGTCCAAGCCGGTTGCTAATCCTCACTCTTTTCCGGCTCCGTTGCCCCAAACTCTCGACAAAAGCGCCGTTTTTCCGAACACCCAGCTACACTTCCAAATACGAAACGAGGCCGTATTTGTCGTATACAGTTCCTTTGCGACACGTTTTCTGGTTGCTTTAAGTTTCTACATCAGACGTCGAGACTGCGAGGTCACATTCATTCTTTTCGGCCCACGAGGCCCACTGTGGGTACAACTAATTCAACCTCGTTTCAACCCGAGTCCGAGGTTCATGATCGTCTTCTCTCGATTCCAAGGATCGAATCCTAGGTTGCCGACACGCGCCTCTTCGCCAGACGCCACGGCGTTGAATGATTCCGTCACTTTTTCACCGCCAATCCGCCTCCATTGTATGATACCTTAATTGACGCCACAACGACGCCACGCTTGGTCTAGGCGCTGCGTTGTTACCTCGCGCCACTTACTCTTGATGTCATATTCCATTCTGGTAGCAACTCCGAGTCATTGGACGTCTTCGGCTATATTCCTTTCCTCCGGAATCCAACAAGCTACTGTCTCCCTAGAGACATGCAGGTCGAGGTCGCTCTAGGAAGGGAAAAAATCAACACAGGGTCACTGTTAAATCTTCCAAGTTTCGCTGTCGAACTCTGATTCACCCTCATTTTTTGGTGGTTCCTCGAATCGAAAGAACGTTGCGATGTATGCCTCCATTTGTGCGTGCGATCACATCACATTAGTCAATGCTTTCGGCCCGCGAAGGGGAGGTTCCGCCAAGTACGTCCTTCCGCTCCGTCGCATCTCTCCCCCAGTCCCCTGTACCGCAGACCTCCCTCGATTTTAATTTGATTTGGCAACGCGAAGGTCGCCATGCCACACGGTAGCGAAAAACACTTGACAGCAATTTAACCCATCTCTGCAAAGCTCGCCGTGAATAAAAGGGCTCACCCGTTTCACAAGAAATCCCCATTCCAACAATGTCTGCCCCAGAAACCGCTACTAAATTCGCACCTACCCAATCTTCCTCCGTCCTCGGTGGACAGATCGTCGGTCGCACTCCTCGCGAGGCTGCTCCTCCTGCGGCTTTGAGGCTGCTCCTCCTGCGGCTTTGAAGCTGCGCCTTGACCTCAACCTCGAGGTTGAGATTGCCATCCAGGCTAAGGTCAACGGTGACATCACCCTCTCTCTCCTGTAAGTACATCGGTGAACTGGCGGATCCTTGAGCTGACTATTATTCTAGCGAGTAAATGTCCTCGGCGGCTGGAGAGTTAGAGGCGGCATTCGGTCGTTGGATTTCAGGTAAGGCTTCGCCTGCGCGCGCCTCTCAATGTGCTCATTGAGATATACAGGTGGAAACACGTCTCTTACCTACATCCCACGCGGAGTACCGTACTTTCAGCTCTCTTTTTCCTGTTAGCCTTGTGGGAGTATTTAGTAGTGCATCCATACCTGTTAGATACTAATATCAACGCTGTTTTCGGGTTTTTACATGGAGTGACTCACTGAGATGCATTGAATATCTGTTTGATGGCTTAAATGCACGGCTTCCATCAGTGTCTGTTCCGTTCAATGGCTTGGTGCTTGAGCAGAGTGTTGCAACGCCGATTGGAAGTCTGGCCGGCTGTACTGTTGACAAGCAATCCGGAATACATATTCGGAGCAATACATCCACGAAGACGGGATGTTTGTCATTTGTCCGAAGGTACCGTAGCAACGTTCTGGGAGTATGTCGAAGACGCAAACGTGTTGTTTAGCAATCATAAGAACGTGAAGATAAATTTGTTGGGGTGGGGCGACAGATAGTCTGTTCGTTCATGAAATGACTATTGAGAAAATGTCGATGGTTGCATGAAGCGGAGTTGCGGCCGCTCGACGGGAAGGAAGACTGTTGGGCACCTATCGACAGGAGAATACCAATGACAAGATTATCTCGTCTGAATTCTGGCGTGACATTCCCAGCGTCGCGGGTACGAGAGACGGACAGGAGGGTTGGTACCGGCGGCAACTCTGGCGACCTAGACCACGGATGTTCATCTCTGTGCGGTCTATGTGGCGCATCTCGCGTCATTTACACCCACTTGGTGACGACTCGACGACAGTTCTTCTGTACGATGTCGCGCCTGACATATAATCTCTTATGCACAAGTCATTGGTGGGCACAAACCCAGTGACACTCATATTCGAGATAGTGTATACAAAGGCCGCAGCCTATACGAGGACGAGAACTGAAGGAACGACAATTTCTGAACACCGGATTTTGACCTGAGGCGAAAGCCTTAGCGCAACTCGAGGGGGAAATAAAAGACGCACCTTGGGAGTAGTAACTCGACGACTATATGCGCCTCTCAGGCCGCGAAGAATCATTCGCTAGCAAAACGAGATTAGCAAGGAAGTAACAGACAGAAATATAACGACTCACAGGAGCGAGAGGATGATATCTCCGTGAACCTTAGCCTGAATGGCGATGTCAACCTCCAAATTCAGATCCAACCTAAGCTTGCGGCCTTCCTCATTACTCCTCCTCCTTGCAACTGGAGCAGGAGTGTCGTCAATAGCACCAGTTCCACTGATAGAGTCCCATTCCTGCATTCCATTCAGGCTGCTGTTGGGCACGAAATCCCATTCCTTTCGTCGACCGCCGTAACCGGTACCGCTGACGGATTCCCAAGCCGAAGCGGTGCTAATGCTGCTGGGTAAACCGTCGATGTGAGAGCGCGTACTGGTAGGAGATTCACTGTAGTATGGGAGCCCGCTGACTGTGTTAGAATTGTGCGACATGATGGGCGTTGCAGTTTAAGTTGGTCGCACCCTTTTATACCGGGAAGGGGTAGCGATAACGTTATGCACACGCCACATTGAGGTACGTAAGGACGAACCGATTATCATCGAACCGCGGTTCCATGAATGTGTATCTGTTTGGTTACACTTTGCTTCTTGCTCTCATCCATTATCAACATTACTCTAACAAAGCCATTGCTGGGCACGCCGTCCAGGGAATGCACATGGACCAGGGCTCTTTTGCCTCTCCCGTACGATGACAATGGTGCCGTGCTCGACGAGACAGGCTTCTACTGAATATCTTCGCTGATATTCTGGGATGGAATGAAAAGGTAATCGTTACTCGTTCATTCATCTTTGTTGAATGCTTTCGACTTACTTATTTAATTTTTTTAGGCTCAGAACTCCGGATCTGCTGAGTGCTCGTCACTGAACTCTTTCAGTCAAAATCGCGCTCAACTCCACTTTTTGTGACTATTCGTTCGATGCGTATATGGGGAGGATGGTTGACCAAGGGAACCCAGTTTTCAACACGGATATCCGTGTCAGACTCGTAGTACCTGTTCTCCAGCACGACTCATGCGAAGGTTAAAGACGCCGCCAACATCTCATTTTTCACCTTTATCATAGTGACGGCGAGAGGCCCTTTTGTGTGACCGTAGCATCTGCTAGACACTTAGCCTTTCCCTTTAGGATCTCTCGCCCTGTGCTTCCCAGTACACGTGCCTCGTTTCAGCCTTGACCGCGTTTCGAGTCTTATCGACATTATTCTATCAAAGCCTGCTGGGCATGTTGTCTAATCAATGCACACGGGTCCGGACCATCCTATTACGACGTTAATGGTGCCGCGCTTAACGAGGGGGTTTCTACCGCGTCGATGCTGATTTTACCAACATCGAGCAGCCGCCTTGAGTTCATATTGAGGGCATTCTCTGGGTGCGACGAGGACCATGATAATTGCTGTCCGCTTACTCTTCGTTGGATGTTTTCAGCTTATCTTTCTAAGCTCATGGCACGAGTTCGAGCACGACTCGCGGAGACCCCGGTCCTATTGGGAATGCGCGACCAGGAAGAATTTCTCCGCAAAAGACGGTGCCAATGTCTTATCTTTTACCTCCATCACGGTGACAGTGACGCCTTTCTGTGTACCCGTCGCATCTACCTGACGCTTAGCCTTTTCCTTTAGGATCCCTGGCTATATATGCTTCCCAGCTCGCGGTTCTCGTTTCAGCCTTGAGTCTTGACTGTGTTCTGGGTCATCTTTGCCATTTCCCCGCTAATGTCAAAGCAACTGTGAAACGCTCGTCGAAAACGCAAAATGGTACTTCAGCAATCGCGGATAGTAGGATCCGACGCCTATGGCGTGGAGTTCGACTCTCCCGAAATGTTATCATCTTCGATGACCGCATTGTACGTTTGTTTGGTATTTCTCTTCAATTGTCTAGCACGCCTGTCATCCCCAATAAAGTCAGGACAAGTCGTCCCGCTTTCACGTCGGATCTTGTTGGGCAGGTGTTTCGATTGTATGCCTGTGTTTCCCGGTAAGCATGCTCGAACGTCGAAATATAATCAACACTAATTCGTATCTCATAGCTTTAAATTAGAACGAGTTCCGCGAGTATCTAATAAAGT